TGAGGTAGCCCTTCGAAACGCGATCCACTCGGCGACAGGAGAAGCGCCTTTCTTTACAGTGTTCGGACATCATATGTTCCTGAACGGCGCCAACTATAGGTTAGCGAGGAAGCTAAAGTCCTTGTGTGACCACGAGATGGCGGGCATGAAGACGGCGGACAAACTCCGAGTGATCCAGGAAAAGGTCCGAAAGAATCTGGAGACAGCCTATGACCGAAGCCGCAAGCAGTATGACCAACGGGCTCGGAACTTCATGGCCAAGCCAGGTCAGGAGGTATACCGCCGTAACTTCGTCCTCAGTGACTTTGGAAAGTCGTTTAACGCCAAGTTCGCCAGGAAATTCCTTAAGGCTCGAGTGGTGAAAGCCGTTGGTAACAATGCCTACGAGTTGGAAGACCTGCAAGGACGCCACCTCGGAGTTTACCACGCCAAGGATATCCGGATGTAATCTGAAAAAAAAGGGTAGCACAAAGTAAAGGAGTGCAAGAAAAACAAAGGCAGTACTTCCCGGCATGCGTGGGCCCCGCGTTGAGCACCGTATGCAACTGCAAGCTGCGTAAATGTCCAGGTTCCACTAGGAAAGGATCCAAATGCTCCCAATGATTTCGTCGAGTGGCTCTAAATCCGATGGCGTCTCTCTAAATCCTTGGGTGGTGTTGCATTTCAAGTTGGAACCGGCCGGGAGTAGATCGAAATCGATTGCAAAAACCTATCGATAAAAGTTGGTGGGTGGCAACGCCTACTGAAGTGGCGCCCCCTTCTGCTCATGCCCTTGGCTATCTAGCTATTTAAACTAGCCCGGTTCGCTCTGGGTATGGCTAGGATGGCCTTGGATTCGTCCAATGACCCATTTTTGGGAGAGGAAAAGGGAACATGGCGTGATCAGCATGACATTGCGTAGGTCAGGGATAGGGTTTAGTTGCTGCCAGACATCGAAGCCATGTCGACGGGATTTTGATATTTCTTAGCTTAGAATAGGCCAAGAAAAAGTGAGAGTGCGATTAGTGCGAGTAAAGTTAGAAAATTAAGTGGAAATTTATTTATTTTAGGTCCACCGGGGACCCTAGTACATAGGGCCCCGGCAGTTTCTGTGATTTTCTTCGTTTTTTTCACAATATTCTCGGAGGAAGGGCAGCAGCCCTCGTGGTAGTGCTCAGCAGCAACAGCCACCGGCAGCAGCGACAGCCGCAGGCAGCAGCGACAGCCACAGGCAGCAGCCACAGCCATAGCCATCAACACCAACCAACACCGCCGCAGGCAGTTGAGCTTATCTACATTACCTCGGTGAGTCCGTTCCGGGCACGTAGAACCCGAGCCGCACAACGTCTCGAACACGACGCGACTCCCATACAACGCAGCATCTCCGACGTCACGGTCTGCAGTGGCCGAGGCAGGGCGTAATACCGGTTTCCGGACCGCCACGTCCCTTTATAAGGGTCCCAAGTCGACCCGCAGCCGGCTTTCTCGCCGCGCCTGTGATTAGATTTTAAGATTAATTTTTGTATTCGTAAATTTGCGTACTCGCCTCGTCCGTTTCTGCAGATCTTCGTGATTCCGCTCCAGTTCCAGCAGGGTAATTAGGAGAGAAAAGAGGTGTTTGATGAATGACAGCCACTTGGCTTAAAATTTTCTGCGGGGCCAAATTTCCGATTTTAAGAAGGCCTTGCAGCTGGTGCAGTCCAGGCCGGGACCTGTAAGAAATGGTATAAAGATATATAGGAGGATATACTTAACGTTTATATTTGGCAATCTTATGTATATATTTATAAATAAATGTACTTATAATGGAGATGAAGATGATGTGGGCCTAACGCAATTTCCAGCGGGGAGATGAACCGGTCGTAGTCTGGCCTGGCAGTGGCTCCGGCCTTGGAACATGGGTGGTGCCTCCCTCGCGACGCTAGGGGCACCACAGGAAGGGTGGGTGCGCTGTGGCAGCCACATCCAATGCCACTTTTCCGTCATATTTGTCCCGGTTTGTTTATTTTGTCTTTTTTACCTTTTTTTTGTTGTTATAGATGTTAGTATTTGTGGTGTGAGACGTCGATAGTAATCGATATTTAATGTTGTGGGGCTGTAGGGACATTGGGGGAACTCCGCCCTGAGGATTCCGGAGCTAGCCGGGGCCGTCCCAGGGAGAACAATATGCAGTTCCGTAACATTATGGCGCCCAAACTAAATAAAATATATAAATTGTCGGGACGACGGCGTCTCACCAATTTGCCTTTTTCTTTTCCCCTCAGCCAACACGACCGGTGACTTGCAGGGCAATACAAGTTGCATGCAACTGCATCGGAAGTGGTGGGCTGGGGGAAAATTAAGAGAGCACGGTAGGATTTAGAGCAGACAGGAGGCTTGCCCAGACTGGAGGCAATTTGCTCCTGGTCACAGATCGCAGAAGCAGCGGTGACCTGCGGGTGGCATCTTGGCCCAAAAGGGACAAGATTTGCACCTGCTGATAGCTAAATCTGTGATTAAAATCTGTGATAAAAAAATCTGTGATAAATTAGGTACGGTTTAGTTAGTTATTTATTTGATGTAAAGTAATTTGTTTTGTTATATTTTTGTTGTGAGAGTAGAAGTTTATCCTTTGTTTTGGTTTCGTGGGTGTGTTTGATTTTTCATCTCGGTTTTGAACTTAAATGTGTGATCGTGACCCGTGATGGACACGAGCTGCACGATCACCACGACCTGAGAATCAAAACATACGCGCAAAAAAAATCAAAAAGGATTCAACGAGCAGCCGATGTCCTTAACTGGCGGCTATCAACATAGTTGATAACCAGTCCAGTTGACGAGCGGCGTGTGGAAGGACATATGACGGGAAATAAAATAATTAAGCGCAGAAAAGTTTTCGGCACGGAGTCCACCGGCTGGTGACCGGTTCCATCTCCCCAAATTCAAATCTTAAAAGAAGCAAAATAAAAAGGAAAAATCATAAATATAATATATTATTTATTTATCTATTTATTTATTCTATTTATTAATTCCATTTATTTATCTAAATTATTTATTCATTTTCCCAAGTATTTATTTATTTACAAAAAAATTTATAAATATCTTTCCTAAAATTATACATTTATTTATTTATTTAAAAATTTGTTTCAATAAGTATTATCTGTTCTTACATGTATATATATTTATCTGTTTATTTATTATTTACTTGTCGTTATTATATTTATTATACCCGTTACTCGTAGAGTAAAAGGGTATATTGTATTCGTGCAAAAGTATGTAACAGCTAGAAGGAAGCGTTTCCGACCCTATAAAGTATATATATTCTTGATCAGGGTCACTAGCCGAGTCGATATAGCCATGTCCGTCTGTCCGTCTGTCTGTTTGTCCGTCTGTCTGTCCGTCCGTATGAACGCTGAGATCTCGGAAACTATAAAAGCTAGAAGATTGGCATTTTGCATGCAGATTCTAGGAGTTCCTACGCAGCGCAAGTTTATTTCAAAAGGTGCCACGCCCCTTTTAACGCCCACAATCGCTCATATACGATTTTAAAAATTTAAATATTTCGGAGAAGTAAAAATGCAGTTTTATTGTGTTTATCAATACCTATCGAAATGTAGAATAAATTTTTCAAATCGGACCATTTGTTAAAAAGTTATGCGTGATCAAAGTTTCTATCTCCATCTCCCTCGCACTCCCTTTACCTGAGTAACGGGTATCTGATAGTCGGGGCACCCGACTATAGCGTTCTCTCTTGTTTTTCTTCTTAAGTATTTATTTCTTTTGGTGATTTGTTTCGGGTGCTATATTAGAATTTTTAGGGAAATATACATATATTTTTTTTGTTGTGCTGTACGATGCCTTCCAATTACGATCTCCGATCGAAGGTTCTTCCGGCCGAGGAAGAGGAGAAATTGTGGTCCACCGATTTAGATGAGGTTGCCGGGGCCGAACAGCCACGGATATCGATGGGACTGCCAAGGACTCTGTTGGGTCGTCTTCATCAGGAGCTGCGCAGGGAACTTCAGATGGGAACAGATCCCACACAACATCAAGTTCTGGAGCAAGTGAGCTCGGAGGCGTTTCTGGACAACGCGGCGAAATCGGCTGTAAACGTTGCATTGGCCCAGGCTGCAGAGACCCATCGAAAGGCTCAGGAGTCCGACGTCAGCCAGTCCTTAAGGGATGAAATCCGAGGTGGGTTCCTGGAAATGATGAAGCTGATGAACGAGGTGTTAAGGCCTGTTGCTCAGCGGCCGCAGCTTCCACAGGGGAACAATACCGATCAGCAGCAACATCCGGGTTGGACGGACACGGCGGCACCACAGGCTCCAAGTCTGGTCCAGAAGGGGCAATTCCAAAGACGGCACCATCAGCAAGTACGATTGGCTCCCGTCCACCCCCACCAAAGGTTCCACCTAAGCCGCCTAGAAGGCCCTTGGAGTCGTTTCCGGTGGAGAGCAGCAGTCCAGGATATCCTCTGGATAGCGAACGAGGGCTACGCAACGAGCCTCGAAATTGGCACTTCGAGGACCGGAGGGCTTCCGATTTCCGCGAGGAGCCTCGTTTATATGCCAATACAGGGCTAGGTGGCGGCAGCCAACAGGTTCGCATTGGCTCCGGTCGGCTGGGGCGTTACTTTTGATGGCGAGGACGAGCGAAACTCGGTGGAGGATTTCCTGTTCCGGCTCGAGTTCCTGCAGCGGCAGTACCAGTGCCCTTGGCAGGAAGTGCTTCGCCATTTCCATGTGCTGCTAACCGGACGGGCACGCGAGTGGTATTGGGTCCACGTGCGTCACTGCAGGGTGGAAAGATGGCCACAGCTGCGTGCCGCGCTGATGGACAGGTTCCGAGGCCACCAGACGGAGCACGATCGGATGCATCAGCTTCTGTAGAGGGAGCAGCAGCCGGGAGAAGCCGTGGAGGACTATGTCCATGCGATGCAGCAGCTAGCTTCTCGCCTAAAAAAACCACTGTCAGAGCGACAGATGGTAAAAATAATTAAAAAGGGCTTGAGAGAGGGTATTGCAAGATTTGTTTACGCAATGGATGTGATGACTGTGGACCAGTTAAGGGAAGAGTGCTGCGAGGTGGAGCGCAATTTTGGACGACGAGGACGCGCGGCCTATGCGCACCCGATGCGTTATCATCCGGCGGAGAAGGCCAGGGTTTGCGAGGCAGCTGGTCCCGACACTGCAGAGGATTCCCAGTGGCAGGTGGAGGCGTTACAAGCCAAGACCCGAAATCCGTTCCGAGCGGGCTGCTGGAATTGCGGAGCCGTAGACCACGGGTTCCGTGACTGCACGGCAACAGAGCGGCGCCTGTTCTGCTACCGATGCGGAAGGCCAGACACCGTGTCTCCGAAATGTCCGGATTGCGCGGAAAACGGTCGGCTGGGCGATCCGAGGGCGGGAGGGATGCGCCCAGACAAGAGTCCCGCGAAGAAGTAAATGTTCTAGGACTAAAAGAAGGTTTAGTATGTAGGAGTAGTAATAAGAACATATTAAAATACTTACCTTATGAGGAAAGGATGCGCAGGTACTTGGAGGCCAGGAATCGGATCTTCTCCAACCATCAATTGAGCGGGATGAGATTGGTGTCTCGGAAAGTCCAGAAGGCCAGGGATCGATTCCGGAAGAGACGAGCGAGGAGGCTGAAGTGGTTGCCGCTGTGAAGCGCAGTGGAACGGGAGACCCTCGACCATTCGCTGATGTCCGGATCCTGACCCAACAGCTGTCTGGATTATTGGACACTGGAGCGAGTGTCAGCCTGCTGGGTAAAGGTTGTAGGGAGCTGGTCGAAGCTTTGGATGTGCCAATCCAGAAGTACCTATCCGTGGTCCGAACGGCGTCTGGAGAGGACCGCTCGATTATAGGACGCGTCGAGCTACCTGTGGAGTACAGAGGACAGATAAAGCGGATCCTGTTCTATGTATGTCCATACCTGGAGCAGGAAGCCTATTTCGGAGTGGACTTCTGGCAGGCGTTTGACTTGGCTCCAGCGGTGATAGGCCCCAGCAACCCGGAAAGCGTCAAGGCAGACGAAATCCACGCTAGGGATATTGAGCACTACGCCGAAAAGGAAGATGACGACGAGGAGAAACCGGATCCCAAATCATGGACCTTATCCGAGGCCGACGCACGACAGCTCGCGGAGATCCAGGAGGTGTTTCTCACATTCGAGAAGGATGGTCTGGGAACGACCAATTTGGAAAGGCACACGATCGAGCTGATTGAGGGAGCCAAGGTCTTCAAGGATCGGCCTTATCCCATGTCTCCAGCGAAGCAGAAGGTTGTCGAGGATGAGGTGGACAAGATGCTAGCGCTCGGAGTCATCGAGGAGAGCATGAGCCCGTGGAGCAACCGGACGACGGTAGTGTCGAGGCCTGGGAAAGATCGGTTCTGCTTAGACGCGCGCAAATTGAACGATTTGACCATTAAAGACGCTTACCCGCTGCCGAGTATCGACGGAATCCTGTCCAGAATCGACCAAACATTTTACATTTCCAGCGTGGATTTTGCATTCTGGCAGATCGAGTTGGACCCGAAGAGCAAGGAACTGACGGCATTTACGGTTCCTGGTCGGCCTCTCTACCAGTTCCGGGTGATGCCCTTCGGACTTTGCAACGCGGCGCAGCGGTTGGTGAGACTTATGGACCAAGTGATCCCAGCTGAGATCCGTTCCAACGTTTTTGTCTACCTCGATGATCTGCTGATACTGGCTCCAGATATCCAGACCCACTTCAGGTACCTTCGGAGAGTCGCGGAATGCCTGAAAGCAGCGGGGTTAACGATAGGTATGAGTAAGTCAAAGTTTTGCTTCAAATTGTTGACCTACCTGGGCTTTATCGTTGGTGGAGGTCGTCTACGAATGGATCCGGGACGAGTAGCAGCGATCAGGAGGATGCCAGAGCCTAGGACGATGAAGGAGGTGAGAGCGTTCCTTGGGACTGCTGGATGGAACCGCCGGTTCATAAAGAACTTTGCGACGTTGGCCGCCCCACTCACTGAATCGCTGAAGAACACTGGAAATTCTAAGTTTTCCTTGAGTCCAGAGGCTCAGCTGGCAATAGAAGCTTTGAAGATGGCTTTAACGACTGCACCAGTCCTGGTGCATGCGGACTTCAAGAGACGGTTCTTTATCCAGTGCGATGCGTCACACGTCGAAGTCGGGGCGGTGCTTTTCCAGCGAGACGACGACGGACAAGAGCAGCCAATTGCATTTTTCTCGGCCAAGATGAATAAACATCAGGTAAATTACACCGTGACCGAGAAAGAGTGTCTCGCGGCGCTCATGGCCATCCGGAAGTTCCGGCCATATGTCGAAGGGATGCCATTCACCTGCATCACGGATCATGCTAGCTTGAAGTGGCTCATGTCCATGAAGGATCTGTCGGGACGTTTGGCGAGGTGGTCGCTGCAGCTTCAAGGGTTCCACTTCAACATCGAGCACCGAAAAGGAAGGGAGAACGTCGTGGCAGACACCCTTTCACGGTGTGTGCTCGTAGTGAATCCGACGGATTTGTTGGGTTTCGAAACCACCGAGTTCGCTGGAGAAGGTTATCTCGAGTTAGTGAAAGATGTGGAAGACAACTTGGAAAACTTACCGGACCTGAAGATCGAGGATGGTCTCATCTTCAAGAGAGTCTCCTCGGCAAATCTGGACGATGATGTGGAAGGTTCCAAGTGGAAACTGTGGATCCCACAGAGTCTGACCCACAGCCTAATCGAGCGTGCGCATACGGACCCAACAGCAGCTCATGGCGGAATGGGAAAGACTCTGGAAATCCTCCGACGGCAGTTCTACTGGGCAGGCATGGTTCTCCAAGTCCGCGAGTTTGTGCGTGGATGTGATGTCTGGTCGGTATTGGAGAAAGAGTCCAGACGGAACAGGCATTCCAGAAGCTGTATATCGACTTCTTGGGAAAATATCCGAGGTCAAAGAGGAGTCATGCCTGGATTTTTATCGTGGTGGACCATTTCTCCAAATTTGTATTTCTGAAGGCCATGAGGGAAGCTACATCCTCGAACGTCGTCGATTTTCTCATTCACGAGGTATTTTACAAATTAGGCGTCCCGGAGGTAATACACTCAGACAATGGTCGGCAGTTCACGTCGAAGATCTTCCAGAAGGCGATGGAGAGTTTCGGTATCTCACACCTAAAGACTCCGGTATACTCCCCACAGAGCAACGCAGCAGAACGAGTAAATAGAAGCGTGTTGGCCGCAATCCGGAGCTTTTTAGATGGTGACCATCGAGACTGGCACGTCTACCTTCCTGAGATTGAGGTAGCCCTTCGAAACGCGATCCACTCGGCGACAGGAGAAGCGCCTTTCTTTACAGTGTTCGGACATCATATGTTCCTGAACGGCGCCAACTATAGGTTAGCGAGGAAGCTAAAGTCCTTGTGTGACCACGAGATGGCGGGCATGAAGACGGCGGCCAAACTCCGAGTGATCCAGGAAAAGGTCCGAAAGAATCTGGAGACAGCCTATGACCGAAGCCGCAAGCAATATGACCAACGGGCTCGGAACTTCATGGCCAAGCCAGGTCAGGTGGTATACCGCCGTAACTTCGTCCTCAGTGACTTTGGAAAGTCGTTTAACGCCAAGTTCGCCAGGAAATTCCTTAAGGCTCGAGTGGTGAAAGCCGTTGGTAACAATGCCTACGAGTTGAAAGACCTGCAAGGACGCCACCTCGGAGTTTACCACGCCAAGGATATCCGGATGTAATCTGAAAAAAAAGGTAGCACAAAGTAAAGGAGTGCAAGAAAAACAAAGGCAGTACTTCCCGGCATGCGTGGGCCCCGCGTTGAGCACCGTATGGAACTGCAAGCTGCGTAAATGTCCAGGTTTCACTAGGAAAGGATCCAAATGCTCCCAATGATTTCGTCGAGTGGCTCTAAATCCGATGGCGTCTCTCTAAATCCTTGGGTGGTGTTGCATTTCAAGTTGGAACCGGCCGGGAGTAGATCGAAATCGATTGCAAAAGCCTATCGATAAAAGTTGGTGGGTGGCAACGCCTACTGAAGTGGCGCCCCCTTCTGCTCATGCCCTTGGCTATCTAGCTATTTAAACTAGCCCGGTTCGCTCTGGGTATGGCTAGGATGGCCTTGGATTCGTCCAATGACCCATTTTTGGGAGAGGAAAAGGGAACATGGCGTGATCAGCATGACATTGCGTAGGTCAGGGATAGGGATTTTGATATTTCTTAGCTTAGAATAGGCCAAGAAAAAGTGAGAGTGCGATTAGAGCGAGTAAAGTTAGAAAATTAAGTGGAAATTTATTTATTTTAGGTCCACCGGGGACCCTAGTACATAGGGCCCCGGCAGTTTCTGTGATTTTCTTCGTTTTTTTCACAATATTCTCGGAGGAAGGGCAGCAGCCCTCGTGGTAGTGCTCAGCAGCAACAGCCACCGGCAGCAGCAACAGCCACCGGCAGCAGCAACAGCCACCGGCAGCAGCAACAGCCACCGGCAGCAGCAACAGCCACCGGCAGCAGCGACAGCCGCAGGCAGCAGCGACAGCCACAGGCAGCAGCCACAGCCATAGCCATCAGCACCAACCAACACCGCCGCAGGCAGTTGAGCTTATCTACATTACTACTTTTCAAGAGAGCGTTTTTAAAGTTTTGGACATCGAAAAATCGCATACAAAACGTGCTAACTCACCTAACTTCGGAAGTTTTACTCGGATGAATATAAAATTTTAACGCAACATTCTTTAAATTTTGTGCATTCAGAATATAAATTACACAGTACACAGTTTTTATACCCTTGCAGAGGGTATTATAATTTTGGTCAAAAGTGTGCAACGCAGTGAAGGAGACATCTCCGACCCTATAAAGTATATATATTCTTGATCAGGATCACCTCCTGAGTTGATATAGCCATGTCCGTCTGTCCGTCTGTCCGTATGTCCGTCTGTCCGTCTGTCTGTTTCGCAAACTTGTCTCTCAGTTTTAAAGCTATCGAGTTGAAACTTTGCACACACCCTTCTTTCCTTTGCACGCAGTATATATGTCGGAACTATATCCTATAGCTGCCATATAACTGAATGATCGGAAATGCCATAACTTTGGTGTTTGTAAAGTTAGGAAGTTGGAATTTTCTATGGGTTTTATATTTGGCCAATCAATTCGACCTACCAAATTTCAAAGGGATCGGCCGACTATATCTTATAGCCGCCATATAACTGATTGATCGGAAATGCCATAACTTTGGTTTTTGTTAAGTTAGGAAGTTGGGATTTTCTATGGGTTTTATTTTTAGCCAATCAATCCGACCTATCAAATTTCATAAGGATCGGCCGACTATATCCTATAGCTTCCATATAACTGAACGATTGGAAATGCCATAACTTTGGTGTTTTTAAAGTTAGGAAGTTGGGATTTTTTATGAGTATTAAGAATGCATCTTATGAATAATTTTGGAGAATATAATTTACAGAGTATTCTGCAAGGGTATATCAACTTCGGCTCCGCCCGAAGTTAGCTTTCCTTTCTTGTTTTTTGATAATTACGATATCCTAATTGGCAGAAAATTTTTCAAAATAAATAAAAATAATAGCACAGTTACAATTTTTGATAAAACATACAAATTAATTGCTTTAAAATCAGTAAAAAACCAAAATTCTTATATCCAAAAGGCACCAGAACCAATTAAAAAATCAGCTC